CTTGGGGAGAGGTATTTGTGGGTCTCAGCTTATTGTGGGATTCTGGGAAATGAGCAGACAAAACCTCATTCCTTTGTCCCAGCAAGACTCCCCTGAGCAGCCCTGTGATGTGTCCTCTCTTTCTCTCTCTCCCAGCTCCCTGAAGACCTCAGGAGAGCTCTGGCATGATGCCTACCTGCACAAATAAAGGACAGAGCGTGGTGCTACCATTCAGAGCCTGCCACGGCTGCATTCCCAGCAAGCTGAGGGGCAGGGATCACACGGGACTCTCTGGCAGAACAAAGTGAGTAAGGACTGAGGGATAAAATTCCAATAGAGATGAAGCTGCCTGAATTTTTCTTCTGGTTTTTCCTGCCTGTTAAGAATGGGCAGGGCAAGCAGAAGGTGAATTGTTAGGAGAGTAGGGAGCTCTTTGCTGACTGAGTCTGAGCATTTCTGAGCCTGGGCATGGGCTCAAGTCAGATCATGGACTGGTGGAGCTACACACACATGATCAGAGACCTCTGATCATGGGTTTTGTTGGGTTGGTTTTTTTTTTTGTTTTGTTTTCCTCATGTGGAAGGTGTAATGCTTGATACATCATTTGCTTACTTGAATTTCAAACTGCAAAGGATTTTGGATTAATATGGTGTTCCAGCAATGTGCTTAAACTACAATAAATTATGATAAACTACAAACAACACTTAGACTGTAGCAAGTGCACATGCAGTGAATAAAAACATAAATGTGTTTTCATTGCTGTTCTCTAGTGCATTCTCATTGTCACAAGGCCAATAGACACATGGGGTTAAAACCAGCTTAAGGCCTCTGCTCTCTTCAAAATTTATCTGGTTTGAGAGTTTTTTTTGTACTTTATGTTGGGCTGAGACATGTGCACACTCCACGTACGCTCCCCACCTATATAGGACTAAGATTCTACTACAGAAAGGTAAACCAAAAGTAAAATAAATCACCTAGAGACATTTGGTCAAACCCAAAACTTGCTGTTGCAGCTAAACCAAGATTAGATCAGATTTTGGCTGTGCCAGGCAGAAGATGAGTCAGTGAAAGAGGCTGGTCCGGGTACTTTGAATCACCTTGAGAGGAGACAATATCTTCCCATTAATTGGTAAGAAAGCATGTTCTTTGTCTCAGGTGAATACTACAGTGAGTACCTATTCAGAACCTGAAATAAAAGGCCAGCTTTTGGAAAGGAGACTATGGGAATAACAAAATTAATTTGAATATTAGCAGGTACCACCCTTTTTTTCACTAATTCAAGGTTAATAAATAGAAAACTCACGAGGTAAAAAGAAATAGAAAAAGTCTCTGATGACGTAACAAATGGACTTTGCACTACTTGTGCAATGATTGGCTGAATTACTTAAAAACCTTTAGCCCCACAGAGTCAGGGAAAGATTTGCTATTAAACCATTTTTCCTGCCTTGGAAAAAGTGCAATTATGTTTAGAGGTTAACAGCACAAAGTACAATGCCTGACCCACATGAGCAAAAGGAGCAATTCCCAAAAGTTCTGTGAGAGAATTAAGAAATAAAGCAGAAGCCACAGCAATGTAATTTACTCGCAAACACATTTCCACTACTTTAAAAAGCCTTTTAAAATTACCTTAATCAGCCTTGAAAATGATTTATTGGGTAGATGAAATGCCTGATTTTGAAGATCATCATTTGATTTTTGGACTTTTGACATAATTGGCTCCAAGTTCAAGACTCCTGCAACTCAAAATGCAATTTAAAAAAGAGCTGTGAATGTTTCCATTGTTTGAGGACCCAACAGTGCTCCAGTGAGGACAGGTGTGCAAGGGGATTGGGCAAAACTGAGATGAAGGGTTGTGGCTAAATATGGAACAAAGCCTAAGCAATGTATGGATCAATGCCAGAGCAAACAGGAGCAGTTGCCAAGTCCTTCCTTGGGTTATCTTTGAGCAATCTTACCAGTATCAATCTCAAGATGAAAGGCTGCCTGCACTCCCTCAGGAAAATATTGGATTGCTGGATGAGATTTTACAAAGATATCACTGAGAGGCCCAAAGAAGGAAACACATGCAAATTAGTCATATAACTCAACAGAAAAGCATAAACAAACAAACAAAAAAAATCCAAGCCAACAAAAAAACCCCACTCCTGTAAAGAAGGTATGGTACATGGAAAGAGTGGGGAAAAAAAATCAGCATCAGCAGTAGAGTATCTTCCTTGAATGTGAACAATGATGAAAACAATACAAAATATTAACTGGCTTATTCTAAAATACAGCCTTGATTCCTGCAACTCTGAAGGGCAAAATTTCATTCTTTTCTTACACTAGTATCTTGGAATCAGAGGTTGGGGGAAGACAGTTCCTACTTGAAATAATACTGAAAGTTAAAATTCAAAGTGTAGTATTTTTCCAATAAAATCTCTTAGGAAAAGTACTGAGTGGCTAAAGCACTTTGGACTCTGCACATACACCACAAATTATAAAAAAATTTATTTCTTCATTCCTGATTTTCCAGCTTCCCTCCACAAAGTCAAGAGTGTTGCTGAGACCTTGTAGAGAACAGAGGAGCTATGATAATGTAGAAATTCTGTATTTTCATTCTGTTTGGGGAGCCTTGCAGCTGTAACTGAGTCTGTAACCAGTATCTGCCATCACCCTCCTTCCTCAATAAATCTTACAACATGTAAGCACAAGGTCAAAGATTGCCAAGTGTGGAAAAGAGAATCATACAATAGTTTGGGTAGGAAAGTGTATCCACTTCTGTATCAATCCTGAATCAATAATCACAGGGACAAGGATTTGTTGCACTGGAAAGAAACCCCAACCAAGCAATAAAAAAACCCCAGTTCTCAATCCTGGTCAAAGTTTAAAAATGGGGAACCCGAGAGAAACAAGCAAAGAATAAATACTGAAATTAACAGACACAGCAAATCTATTTCTGTGGTTCATCACATGTTATAAAACAAGAAAGGAAGTTTTCCTTCTGACTAGGTCCATTAGAGATTTACAGTATTTGAACTGCTCTGAGTAGCAGGATGCGAAAATATTTAGTGGGCCTCTTCCATTCAAAAAGTAAAACTATCAGTTTAGCAAGCTTCAGTCTGTCATCTAAGAACAAGTTTCAGCCCAGCTCCTGAGGGCCTGCAGTGCAAAGAGATTTCCAGCTGCTCTGGGTTGAAGTTTGACTTCAGGTGGAATTCCAGCGTGACAAAGTTCAAGCTTTCATCAGATAATTAAACCATGCAGGCTATATTCTGTGATCCAGGCTGCAAAACTGTCATCATTAACAATCAGCTATCAAATACTTCACTTATTGTTATTTTTACATCACTGCCCTGTTGTTCAGCCTTCATTTGTTTTCCCAGACTGTGTAAAAATGCACCACTTCATAACCTTTTGCAAACACAGGGCTGTTTTGGGAATCTTCTTCATCTTACTGATCCGTTCCAGCTGGAATCATCCTGGCAAAACTGCCTTAATTCATTTACAGTAATCAAAATAGAGCTTCAGTTCTTTACCCAGTTCTGTCCAAATTGACCTTAGGCCACTCCTGAGGTTTAAACCTCAATGTCAGAGTTGAGGTTATGCCCAAGTCCACCTCTGCATGCCATGACCTGTGTCATGACCACACAGCTCTGACTCCAAACATCACTTCAGACTGAGGCAAAGGTCAGGCTTCACCATGCACTGCAGATCTCTGTGTCATTTTGTCATTTCTTATCAGCAGGAGGGAAGAACACACAACCCATCAGTGGATCGATTGACTTTTGCAGCACTGGGCTGGAGCCCCACACCCCACAGCAATCTGAACTCAGAGTGTGGAGGCAGTGAGTGAGGGCTCATCCAGTCCAACCCCCTGCAGGAAACAGGGGCATCTTCCACCATCCCAGGCTGCTCAGAGCCCTGTCCAACCTGGCCTTGAACAATTCCAAGGATGTGGCACCCACCACCTCCCTTGGAACCCTGAGCCAGGGCTTCCTCACCCTCATAAAACATTTGCTGAGAAAATGGTGACTCACCTGCCTGCAGGAATTTATGGATCAGATCTCCAAAACAGAACAAACAGCCTTTTTCTGCAAGATGAGCAACAGGTATGGAATATTTGGCAAAACAAAGTGATTGGTTTACTGGAAGCTGAAATTATGGATACTCAAACACTGCTTAGCAGGCAATTCCCATCAATGAGCTGCACTAAAGAAAGGAAATCAGGGCTTTTTCCAACATCTCTAAAGCACTGGAAAGTCTGATCCAAACCTACCTCACCCTTTTTCTCCCCACATAACATTTAGCAATCCCATGAACTTCTCAGCTCCTGGCACAGCTCACTACAACAAATGTGATTCTGAAATTTGCTCATGGTTTTTGGATATTCATGTTGAAATATTTTGGGGAATGGAAAATAACCTAGGAATTAAAAGATGAGGTACTGCCCATTAAAAGAAGAGGTACTGCTAGAGAAGCTATAATTTCCCAAACATTAGTTTCAAATTAATTCCCAAATTCACTGCTGGATATGTGCATCTAAAATAAAACAGTGATAAGAAAGTGTTGAGCAATTCTCCTTTACAGATCACTGAAATCATATTGCAACAACCTGGCAAAGGAATGTTTGATTTGAACTGAACAGAATACAAAACCAAAACAAAACTGCTGCTCTGTCATGTCACAATTATTGTGAGAACTACTATTCTCACAATAAGGAGCTGTAAATGGATTTGTCTTATTTGTTTGAAGAAAAAACATTATTGTTCTTCCAGTGTTGCCTAATGCTCTCCACAGCTTTGGGAAAAGCTAAGTTTTCTGTACACTTGTCACAGCCAGTTTAGCATAGAACACAGGTCATTTAAGTCATTTAAACACAACTGTAGGGTTGAAACACAAGTTTTTAAAACAAAGGCAGCTGCAAAAATACATCAAACCTACAGCTTCTGCACCACCTCCAGAAAAACAGATGAAGGTGCGTATGAACTTCCTAGATTAACACAAGGTATTTGACGACATCTGCACAGAAAACACGTTGCCAAGAGATTTTTCATTCCATTTATTTCAGAAATAAGACAACAATATAAATCACTTAGCAGACACAACCAGAATTAGAAGATCAGGCCCCTTGTTTGCTCTTTTCCAAAACTCATTAGGATTCTCTGTTCCAGAACAAATTATTCTCACCCAATCATGTAATCCCACATGCCTGATCAGGTAAAAAGCCAATGGAATCCTAGAATACAGCAGGTTTTCAGTTCATATTATTTTATTGCACCTCTACCCCAGCTGATTTTTCACAATAGGCTGGTAGATTATTTGCTCTGCAATTCAGCTTTCTCCAAAAATTAACAGAATAGCATTTAGTATCTACCGTTCTTTACCTGCCACCATTTCTGGGAATTCACACTTAAATCAGGAAGTAATCCTAGTCGAAGTACAACCCAAGGCAGACCCAGAAATGCAGTGATTATTGACAAACTGCTGTAAGTTTACTTTTTTACATTTGCCTGAGTTAAAAGCAGTAGCTGGTCTCAGAAATGCTTTGCATTTAGCTTGGACAATAACTATTCCATAGATGGGGTCCCAAGTTTTTTTGCACAATTTAACTAAACTGCAGATGCTGGGTAACATTATAACATGCCTCAAATCAGATTTTAGACATATTTTCTAGATATCTATGCTCATACAAACATGCTTTAAAGGATCACCCTGAAAATTAGCCCTGGCTTGATCAAGAAATAGTAACAGCAGATTACTGCAATAAAATAAGAATTTCAGCAACCACTGGGAATGGTTTTGAAAGCTCTTGAGCTTGAATTTCAATATTAATGCATTAGGTTTATTTCTCAAACATTTGGCATGTTAATGTCTTTCTACTGAAATTCTTACAGATTAGAAAGAACAACTTACTCTCCTACCCCTGAAACATGTAAGGTGTAATCAGTTTAGTTGAACAGTGCATGGAATAAGAATTTTTTTTTTCCTTTGCTACCTCCCTTATGTCAGTTTTATCGCAACACAGCACTAGTAAGCAAAGATTATCTTAAAATATATATTGGGAATAAAATTGAACTATATTTAGATTTAGCTTTGTAGCTAGCTTTGTCTCTATCATAAGGAATGAGACATACCAACATTTTACTCAAGGCAAATGATACTGGGTATCATTTTACTTCTGAAGGCCAAAAATTAAATTCAAGAGGATGTGTTTAGAAATACAGACAGATAATTATTTTATTAGCAATACTAAACAACATCAAGTTTTCAAGCAGTTTCTCCATGAGCAGTTTCTCACAATCCCCTTACAGAAATTTTACTGTGTGACAGAAAGTTGCACAACAAAGAAAAAAAAAATGAAGTAGTATTTTGATTACATTTCTGTTTGCTATTAGAAATGAAGACAATTTCTTAGCCATGAGTTGTTTAAAAATTCTCTAAGTTGTTATCAAGCAGTAAAGCACTAGTGTTGAAAGGCACTAGGATTCGAGCTTGTGTTACCTGGTTTCCAGTATAGACAGCACTTGAGAGCTCAGTAAATCACACCTGTAAAACACTCCTGTGTTTGGGCCCAAATCTGCTACATTCATTAAAGTGTTGGACAGGTTCTTGTGCAGCTGGAAGGATGCAAAATTCAGAGCAGATCTCTGCAGGCTTACAGGTTGGATCTTTCCTTGACAGATGTACGAGCTGTGACCTGTGTGTATGTTCTAATTACATCCTGAAAACAAAGCAACAGAAAATCTCAAAGCAAGTTCCATTTAAAGTAGAGAACTTCAGGAAAAATTTGAATCAACTGAGTTGTTGTTCTTTGGAGCAAGCACTGAGCCCAGGAAAGGCTTGTGGCAATTCTCATTACCATCTCAAAGGGTGGGTAACCAACTTGAACACATTTATTATCACACAGCTACCTTCCAGAAACCCTACAAACCCCAACTGAACCAAAGTCTTTATACATCACCAGTTAACCAACATTTAATTGTTATTAGAGTGATGTTTTCTTATTTTGCAATTCTACAAGCGCTGACTTCTGGCTTTTAGTTCAAACAGGGATCAAGACTAATTTCTTACTTCATTGGATTTACAAGAGAAGCCAAAATAATTCACAGCCAGGCAAAATGCAGCTACAAAAATCATCACCATACCTTTTTTCCACCCTCCGCATGGTGTTTGTCCAGCAAAGCCTGGATGCAGGCTCCATAACTAGGATGAACATCAGTGAAGTTTTTCACCTGCACAGGAAGATAATTCAGAAAAGGCAACAAGAATTCTTTTTTCCTCCATTTCAAGAGTGCTCTTCACCACATTTTCTGGGCTACAAGCAGTAGGTATCATAAGGAAGAAAAGTTTAATTCTGATCAATTATAAACAAGATATGAACATCTTCAAACACAATTTCTGTTATGCCACACAGAGCTCACTCCCAATTTAAACAAAGTTGCCCTGGGAAAGCTAAGGATCCAATTCCTCGTTGGCCCTCACTGCCTTCTCCTTGTTTAGAGCAAAACCTTAACTCTGGCAGTCATCTGATTTTTAGAACACATGTTCAACACCTGTCCCATTCTTCCCCCCAGGAAAAAGTTACTTTAACATGTTATATATTGATGCTATAATGTGTCAACAGGCACATATTTAAGTATGAGAATGCCTGAGTAAGAAAGCCCAGCCTTTTCAGAGAATTCCTGATTTTCCTTTCCAGAAGCCTTTATGACAATGTTACTAGGCAGATAGAAAACCCGGAATAAACTCCAAAGAGGGCACTTACAGCTCTTTTCTGAATGAAAAGTTGGGCATCCTTCAGATGATCTGCAATGTTTTTACACAGCCTCTGCCGCTCTTCCTCGTTCAGCACTTTGAGGTAGAACTCTCGCACCTGGCCATTGGAAATAAATGTTTCTTTTGATAGTCCCAAAAGTGAATAAGAATAGCTTTCACTCCCTAGTCAAGCAACATTTAAAATACTCAAAACATTTAAAAGGCAGCCAATTCGTCGGGGTTTTTCTTTGGCAAATGTGCCAACAATTCCTTCTCTAATGGCAAGAAAACAAGTCAGAGCCTCTAACTAACAATGCCCCAAATCTGAATTTTAGATTCTGTGAGAACTCACAGTAACACACACCCTACACACCTCTCACGTGTGCCAAGCAGCACAAAGCCTTTCCACACCCCCACCTGGGTTACGTTGTCCTCATTGGCACTGTTGAAGCGCTGAACATCCCCTGAAGCAAACATGTGGCTCTCCTTGAGCTGGGGCTGATCCTCAGGACCAGAGAAGCTGTTTGGGTAATAATTTGGGGCACCACCTGGGAAAAAAAAAATCCCCAAACCAAATAAATCAGATGGCAGCACTTTCAAGTAAGTCAGAAGACACAGGATGTTATTTGCTTGGAGGAATTAAAATCAATTACTCAGTAAGGATTCATTTTATTGAAAACAGCTGACAGCATTTTTCTGTCAACACCTTGAAGCTAGTACTTAACAGCACATGCTACAAAGATAATTTTGACAGGTTTTTTCAGGGAATATTGATTTGATTCAAAAAAAAGAAAACCTGGCCTCTCTCACAACAGTATTTCTCAATTGTAATAGACAGTCATGGTTGAAGTTTAAGGCAGCATAAAAATACTGCCTTTTCAGTCATTTACATATCTGAAGTACTACAAAGTTTCCCTGTGTAGGGGGTATATTTTAAACACATAATGAACTAAGAGAACTGCATAAATATAAACTCTCTATCTGTTCTGGGACAAGAGCAGCTATCCTCAAGTTTCTGTTTTTCAAATATTTCCCTCTCCTCCCTCAGCGAGTGTCTGAATTCATAGCCTAGAGGAACACATATTTTGGCATGAGCCACAGCTTAAGTACATCCTTGTTTACTCTCAGGTGGAAAACAGCCACTATTGGGCAAACCTTGACAGAACAGAAGCTGCTCAATAAAGGGGAGGTGACAGCTCTACTCTTGCCATTTTCACTTTTGTCCTTCACAATCTCTCACCAATCTGAAAGCAAAGCCGTTAAGTGAAATGGACTGAGCCAAGTCAGTCTCTAAAACCTGACTGTGGGTGTTTTCTCACAACCTGCTTTTCTCTTAAAGGCCTTTTTATTAAGTGTTAAACACATTCTAAGCTTCAGTTGGTTTTTATACTTCTAAACAAACTCCTCATCCCGTATCCAAATATCACAACTTTCCTTTACTGGATTGACAGAGAAGATATACAAGCATTCTGCATGAATATGTAAAGGTAATAAACATGGATATTAAGCCCCCTGTGAACTGAAGAGAACGCTGCAGCCCATGCCTAAGCATCATTATACTGAAAGCTGCTTTCCTGGCTACCTTGGTTGTCAGAAACAGTCATTGGCCCATCCCTCTGGTAGTTGGCCACCCTGGCTCTGAAGGGACAGTTGACAGGGATCTGGAGGTAGTTGGGGCCCAGGCGGTGTCTGTGGGTGTCAGGATATGAGAAGAGGCGTCCCTAAAATATTGAGCACAAACATTAACCATCACTTGTAAAACACTGGGGCATGTCAACTCAAAGCTTTAATAAGCAGCAAACTAATCAATGCTCCTCAGGTCACACCACCTGTTTACCTGCAGCATTTTGTCAGGGCTGGGCTCAATTCCAGGAGGCATGTTGCTAGGGTCATAAGCCATCTGTTCCACCTCTGCAAAGTAGTTGACAGGATTCCTGTTCAAGACCAGCTTTCCCACAGGGATGAGAGGGTAGTCAGCATGAGGCCAAACCTATTAGACACAACACAAATCCAGTAAAATCAACATTATTATAGTATTATGCAGCTTAACTGCCAGGCAGAATTCACCCAGTTTCAGTCTAGGTTAAGAAAGTAAGTTACCGAGTTTCTTTTCTCTTAACAAACATTGAGGAATATCTTATTTTAAGAGGCCTTTTGCAATTAACACAGATTATTAATGCAATTTATTTCATCATCCCAGCATAATCTAAGCACAGGAATACTTGAACAAAATACCCGCAAGCCCTTGAAAAGCTGCCTAGGGAAGCTGGGCACAGGTGGATCTGGTGGCACAAATGTTTTCAGCTCCTTCGAAATGCTTAAATGGCCTTTCTTTGCCATCTGAGCTGCACTTTTAAGTTTAAAGGTCTTTAGGCACTTGGCGAGAACAGTGTTAGAGCTAAAAAAGAGTTTATGCAATGCAAGTTTATGTCGGCATCTTTCAACAAGGCATTCCAAGGAGCAGCTATTGGAAGTAGGACAAAATGAGACCAGCAAGGCTCAGGGTGTGACTCTGATCTGAAATCACACTTCTGAAGTGCCATGGCATCTACAGGCCTGGAATCAAGCCCTATCCTACTTCCCTGAGGAAGAGTAAAATCAGATATAACACAAATACAGTTTAGCCTCCAGAATCGGTGGCTCATCATGGCTCTACAATAAAGAATACACTTAAGAACTACCTGAAACTGAATATTCCCAAAATTATCAGACATACCTTAGTCACATCAAAAGGATTAAATGGGAACTTCTCTGCTTCTTCAAAGGTCATAACCTGAATGTAGAAGGACCATGAAGGATAGTTCCCCTTGGCAATTGCATTGTAAAGGTCCCGTATGGCATAATCGGGATCAGTAGAAGCCAATCTTCCTGCTTCTTCCACAGAAAGGTTTTTGATGCCCTGGTCAGTCTAAAAGCAACAAAAGCACCAGTTAAAGCATGCTGAAAGTACTATAGAGCTCATCCATTAAAATTGATTTTAGTAAGATTTATAATCCAAGAATGAGACTGTCCAAATTAAAACTTCCAGTAACTTGAGTTTAGATTTATAGTACATTCAACAGCTGCCTTCCAGATAAAAATCAGTTCACTGATAGTACTCCATTAACAAGAGACAGATGCTCAAAGCAGAGTTCCTTATAGTAAATGATTACTGTGTTAGCAACAAGAAAGATGCTTCTCCTATTGGTTAAAGGTATGAAACTGATATTAAACTGATAAAGGACTCCACACACACACCTTTGAGCCTGAATTAAACTTGAAAAGTCACAGATCTTTATGGTTTTTATCCAGTATGATGTATAGTTCTAATTTAAAAAAAAAAAGAAATCAATACCTTGGCATGGAATTTGCAGTAAACTGCTCTTCCACCAGCATTAACCAGTTTGAAGGTGTGTGATCCATATCCATTCATGTGGCGAAAGCCATCGGGAATGCCACGGTCACTGAACAGGAAAGACACCTGAAGAGAAGGATCAAACATTATTAATGGACTCAGCATATCAAGGAGGAAGTCTTCACTCCAGATTAAGTTTGTTTATTGTGTTAATCTGCTTCACTAGGGGCTATGTTAATGTTTTCATGAATTCATTGAGGAATTTCTACTTCAGGTGTTAATTAAATAAAACTGACTCCCCCTGTAAGCATAGGTAAGTATGGATAATTTAAAATCATATTTAAATAAAATATTAATAAAACTATGTAGACTTCCAGATGAACATGGAAAAGAGAGAATTAAAAACCTGTTGTCACAACATGTTTATCTTAATCATACAAAAAGTCATGGGAAAAGCTTACTTGATGCAAAGACTCAGGACGAAGACTCCAGAAGTCCCACACCATGTCTGGATCCTTCAGATGAGTCTGAGGGTTCCTCTTTTGGCTATGGATGAAGGAAGGAAACTAATTTGCCCAGAAGTGGAGGAGGAGAAAGAGAAAAAAATAAAGACAAAGCTGTAAGATCACTTGAGAAAAAAAATCTTCTACTGCCATACCCTTCCTGCCAAATAAATTAATTCACAGACCAGTCAGTAAAATCAGGGTAATGCCAAACATTCACAATTAGAATAAACAGAGATAAAGAATGCTTTCATTTTGTGGTTGATAAGGTGAGCGATAGAACTGTTCAGATTTGTATATCTCTGTTTATGTGACTCACAAATGAATACAGAAATCCTGCACTCAAGAAAAGCCCCTCTACTAGCTGCTGTCAAACTTATGCCAAAAGACCAAAAACCCCAGATTTAAAAAAAAGAATTGGCAAGAAGCTTTTGAAGTGAAAAATATGAAACCATGTAAGTTATCAAGCTTTAGTTCTTTATTTACTTTTGTTAAGAACATCTTTCCAAGCAACAAATGTTCAGACAATGTGACAAACATTGTCAGAGGCATTTTAGACCCTGGCAAGTTTCTGCTTCTGAGGGAAGCCAAAACAAGATGTGAATGAACTTTTGGTCTTTCTCACAAAGTACCCTCACCTTTTGTGCTTACTCACCAACATTGCATCCCGAATAAAGAAGATGGGAGTGTTGTTTCCCACAAGATCCCAATTCCCATCCTCCGTGTAGAATTTCATGGCAAAGCCTCGGGGGTCACGAACTGTGTCAGCTGAGCCAGATTCTCCAGCTTGAAGAAATACATGAACACACAGAAGTGTTAGGATAGGAAATGCATGTATAAATACGACCTGAAAATAGGCCATAAAATCCTAAAAGGGTTTATTGCAGTCTTTTTTATACCAAGGAATTGTAGGAATATTTTGAACAATACTTCACACACTGTGAGTTTTCAAAGTGTAAACCCAACCAAACATTCAGGCCACAATTAAAAAAAGGAAAAAACCAAGTATATCTACTTGAACCAACTGAGACTGGAATTTGCATTATCACTAAGAAAGACATCATCAGATTTTAGGCTGAATCATCTAAACCCGTATTTGCTTCTGTGCACCAAATCCCAGTGAGAAAGCTCTCATCTGGAAGGTAACAATCTAACCAGCGTACCTAATAAAACACTATGGAAGAGCTGTAATCCTTTTAATTCCTCCTGCTTCACCCAGGATGGGATTTTCCATGGGAATTCAGACCAGAGCACAAGTGCTTAGCACAACACATGAGCAGAAGTGTTCCAGAAGTGCTCAGAACAGCTAATGTTGAATTGTGATGAAATCAGTAGGACACTCATTCTCTTGTTAAAAACCTTGTGTATTCCAGAACAGCAGGGAGGAAACGTGCCCAAACAGGGAAGGCAAAGGGAAGGGAAGGAGGCAACAACCTGCTCCAGCAACAGTCCACATTTCAAACTTAACTCCATGTCCTGTACAACACTCAGGATACCCTAAATCCTTAGAGATTTAAGACTGGAAACAGCCAATAGGCCAAAGCCAGCAGCTCCCTGAGTCTTGTTGGACTACTTTTTTCTCTCCAGTACTTCCAGAACTGAATCCTCATTAGGATTTCTTTTCTTTTAAATATATCCACATAATGAATTATAATTTTTCTACCAGACAAGCTATTGATCACTATTAGCTTCAACTAATAGCATTTAAGATTTTACTAGTTTGTGAACTCCAACCTCCTAGAAATCAGAGTTTATTTATGGAAGATTGTTTTTCTTTGCCCGGTATTTAGTTCACGTCATTCATTCCCAAAACATTCCTGCAGCATAAGAGATCATAGGTATTTAACTTGCAAGTGTTGATTGTGATCCAACCAGAAACAAAGAAAGCTTTCTGTCAGAAAAAGCCAGCTCAGGCTGCTCTCCCTCTCACATTTCAGACAGAAAAGTGTCTCCAGAGAGCTCTGACAGAAAGGGGCAAAAGCTGCTGAAGGTCTTCCATGTAAATGAATTTCAGAGAAGATGAAGCAAGCATTGCAGACACCCTTAAGTGTCCCACAGTGCAAACCCTGCTCTCAGGGCACATGTGCAGAAGACACAAAGTGAATTTAGAGCCTTACCAACAGTGGAGAAGCGGATGGCAAGTGGAGTCCTTTTCCCAATGTGCTCAAACACTTTTGCCTTACAATACTGGGTGATATCATGAGTGACTTCAAAATAGCCAAAGGCTCCTGAAGAACAGCAAGTTGAAAACATCAGATCTAGATACCTTCCTCCCACTCCCAGCTTGTCTGTTGTTAACATACAACTTTAAGTCCAAGGAAAATATGGAAGTACACCAGTTTAAACAATGTTCTAAACACTCCATTTACTTTCACAAAATGAAACTGATTTAACACAAACTATTTGCTCATTCTGTCCTCCTTAACTGACTGCTAGCAGCTCCCAGCAGCAGCACAGAAGATGCCCTTCTGCCAAGATCTGTGTATTTATCTGGGAGCAAGGCAGGTATTTCTTTAATCCTACTATGAGTTGCAGAATTTTTGGTGCACCGGTAAGCTGGGTGAAGCAACACAACCCTTTCCACCCCCACAGAGGAACTTTTCCCATCTACAGTCACATTTTAAATACAGCTCCAGATTTGCTCCTTCTAGGCCAATACATACAAAAATCAAGGTACTAATTCTACCTTACTAAGATCAATGATAATTTTTTTAAAGGTTTAGGGTTTCTTAATTTAAATATTAGATGATTGTTGGAACTCAAAATGACTCTCAGACATTTTTGGAGGTTCCAGGCCTTGGTCAGAGGCATTTTAGACCCTGGCAGGCAGCTGGAAACAGCTGTGATTTTTAGTTTGAGCCATGGAATGAGTTACCAACTTTGAAGGTGGAACAAGCAGTCACAAAGGGCTAGATCGTATAGTAAAAGTAGTTACAAAGTAGAGGGGGAATTTTTTTTAGTATTGTACAGCAGGGTTTTAGCACCTGTACAGGGGGGGGTTTTACTTTGTACATGGGGGTCAGAAGTTTTAAGATGGAGGAAAGTGGGCTGTTCCTGTCCTTCCTCTTTCTTCTTCCTTACCTCCATGTTCTTGGTGATATTGGCACTCACGGATTGGTTTAGAGTAGAAAAGCACTCTGTAATATAGGTAGTAGGTATTGGGAGAAAACTGTAAACATGTAACACGTAATATATCATATAAAAGAGAGCAGCAGCCCTGGGCGGGGGGAGAGAAGAAGAAGACAGTAGATAGAGAGGATGTCAGGGTGTGTGTGTGCCTCTGCCCAGGCCACTGACCAAGCAGCTGCAGCCTGAGAAGAAAATCTTTTAGATAACTTGCAATGAACTGCCTTGAGACCGAACAACAAGAGGCTGCAGAGTCTTTCTTTGGAAGCACGGGTTGGAGGAGAGACTTTACCACCACACGGGACCCCAGAGCAAGGCCAGGGGTTCTCACAGATGATCAGCTTGCTTTGGCAGACATACAGTAGAAAACAAAGCCAAATTCTCTATTAGGTAACATGCAAACAACATTAAATAGAGATGGGGAGGAACAGACAGAAGAAGCAGAGACTACAGCAGATACAGAAAAAATTGAAGGGCTATAACCACATTTTCTCTCATTTTTGTAAACAGCTTTTCAATGCTTCACGTTTTGGCACTGAGTTCTTTTAAACCGGGCCTTACCACTGTTTATATAGATTTATTATAGCTAGTAACACTAAATTATAAATACCAATGTAATTTATGTGCCACGATCTACACGTTAGCTGAAAAGCTCTTTAATTCTACACAGAGAAAATATGTGTCTTTAAACATACCTGCCCCTTTTGCATGCACAACTCTCTCAGGAATCCTCTCTCTGTCAAAGTGAGCCATCTCATCAGTGAAAACAACATCTTGGACAAGAAGAGGTCCACGTGGCCCCACTGTCAGGATATTCAGCTTATCCCCAATGGGGTTCCCAGCACCCGTGGTCAGGGCATCTGGTTTCTGAAAGCAAGAGAAAGTCACTTTCAACACCAGAAATTAAAAACCCTCTGAATCTGAGCCACACAATGTGCATGACTGTTCAACCATTACATGTCACAGAACAGATCAAGAAGTGGCAAAAATCACTTCTGATTCTGGGGGAAGTTACAGAAGATACAGATGTTTACCTAAATCACAGAGCTAAGGTTCAGGACAATTTAAGAAGGGGAGTTGAAGTAACGTAAAATCAAGGAATGTTTTCCATGGTTCAGAAATGTTTCCTCTCAAGACTACTGACCTCGCTTCAAGAAAAATATGGGATGGGAAAAAAAACCTAAAACAGGAGCAGCTGCTGGAAAATAAGGTAGAAAGGAGAGGAAGAAGAAGGTAATGTCAGTACACGGGTAGAGACATAAGGAAAGTGCTACAGCCAGACTAAAATGGAGTTTCCTTAATTAGTGCTGGTCTGGAAGAGTTATGGAAAATAATAGAAGTAAGAACACCTGAGGAATCATCATTTTAGACTCCTGCACCATAGAAGGATTAACACAAGCCCTAAGAAGCTCTACTGCCAGGAAATGTCTTACAACTTCAACAAACACCTCTACTAGAACTGAGTGCACTCCTACTTTCTCACTAAAAGATTCCAGTAGAAAAGACTTGATCTGCATCACATGTGGGGCTATATACTTCTCTAAGGCAATATTCCTGTTTTATTCGGTACTCTGGAAAATGTAGTGAGAAAAGCACATCAGCTCCAGAGACCTGATGGTCACAGTTTTCAGTTTTTCCTGGACTACATTTATTGTTAGGAGCCTTATAAAGGACTGAGAAGAACATGAAATCAAATAAGGACAAAGGAAAAAATAAAATAAAGACAAAATTTGCAACAGGGCAAGCTCAAATAGAGTCACGGATTCCAACCAGCTAACAATAAATCCATCACATCTTGCACTAAACTGACATAATTCCATATGGGCTTTCTATCCACACCATCCTACCTGAAGCATCCACACACCTGAACCACACCAGCACAAACTCCCTCAGCCCTTCCTGATGAGCTCTCCTCCTTTAAAGTGCTATACATGAAAGGGATGGTGGAGAGAAGGAAGAAGCAATTCTTGATGAGAAAAGCATTCATTATCCTAATAGTGACTGTATGTGGTTCCAATTCTTACCCCAAGTTCTGCTTTAAGGGGGTAAATTTCTGCAAACAGACAAAATTCCCATCTGATAGAAAACTTTCCCCGCTAAGAGGCAACCCACAAAGGCAAGGAATGAACAATTATTCACATCCACACGCAGAGCTCTGGATGAAGCAGAGAACACAGGGAGTTCCAGACACCTTTGTTTCACTCAGGTCCATGAATAACCACATAAAAGACATTTGACAGGATAAGGGCATTTCCACTGTGTTCCTACTAATGTGCAACACACGCTACTCCAGCTGGCTTGAATTCCCAAAATATCCATGTTCTTTATTCCTCCTTCACCACTTCATTAGCATAAAGCTTTAAGCATAAATCCAATTCCTTTGGGATGCCTGGAATCCTTATCTACACTGAAATCTGCATGGACATTTTAGAAGACAATGACTGGTTACAAACATGAACATGAAACTTACAGGAAAGTTAAATAAAGCCAAATTCGTATTCCAAGTCAAATAAACAAACATCTGCCTGAATCAAAAGGTAATCTATAGTTTCTCATGGGAAATATGCAAGAGTAGAAATTGTTCTCAGTATATTTTTTTACTGCTTATTTATTACAGACAAGACTATTCTATAATGCCAATATTTAACACCACCAGAAGTAGCTGCTAAAACCACAACTTGTTAACATTAAGGCTATAAAAAAAAAATTATCAGCTTTGTGGCTGTACAATCTCCTTTGTGTAGGCAGACCTTCTAGTGTTCACATTAGAAGTAAAGAATATTAATTTACTTAGTGGAAGGAGATATTCACTTTAGTTTCAGGATAATGTTATGTGAGGCACACAAAGTAAGTTCCAGAGAGGGGGAAAAAAACCTATACCATAGTTTAAAGAACTCTCACACTACTTTTGGACCTGAGTTTGTTTGATGCCTGTGTTTTCATCTGCTCGGGAGCTGCACACAGCCCAAACCTGGATAGGTAAGAGCTTTCAAATCAGTGTTTCATTACAGCACTAACCTGCCATGACAAAAAGAAGGGAAGGAAAGCCAGGAGAATTTTAGCTGCTGTGGTAAACAGCACACATCAAAGTACCCACTTCCAGGCATTACTGATACTTTGCACCTCATACAACTCACTTTAAAATTTTAATAAGTCCTCCCTGCTTTCTATCTTGAAGTCTCATGACTCCTTATGCAACACAGACTTTTGGGTTGCCTCCCAATCTCCAAATTAACCTTGGCCTCTTTTCAAATGCTTCTTTGCTACAGAAAAGCAAAGACATCCCTACAAAAAGAATTACTCATGGATAAAAAAGCAACTATTATGACACATGCTAGGATATAAAGGAGTCACAAGTCATCAGGTAGTTTTCACATTGTACCTTTGAGAACCGAGAGAAAAAAATAAAATTAAGATGACTTAACAGCTCCAGTGGGAACTGTGACATCCACTTGCATCTTGCAAGATTGCCACTTAAAACCAGCAGAAAGTGTATTTAGTGGCAAACACACATTTCTGTCAGAAACGATATGTGGAAACTGTCACAGGGATTTGTTGAAGAAGGGAAGTGAACTCTTACCATATTTACACATTAACCTAAATATCTGGGATCTAGTGTACATCTTCAGATGACTGAGTGTCATGCCGTTGATTACATTCCTTTATGATTTTGGTCAGCCACTCGTGCCAATCCACTTCATAGGATCATAGAATGGTTTGGGTTGGAAGGGATCTTCAAGGTCATTGAATTCCACCCCCCTGCCACGGCCAGGGACACCTTCCGCTATCCCAGGTTGCTCCAAGCCCCGTCCAACCTGGCCTTGGACACTTCCAGGGGTGGGGCTTCTCTGGGAAACCTGTGCGAGGGTCTCATCACTCTCACAGGGGGGAATTTCTTCCAAAATATTTACTTCGGTCTGGTCACGCCGAGTTGGAAGGGAGCCATAAGGATCCAACTCCCGGCCCTGCACACACTGCTGAACGTGCTTTATTCTTTCTATTATTCCCTAGTCACATAGCCATCGGTCTCTACGGCCGCGACAGCGAACCGAAACACAAACTTCTGATTTAAGGCAGAAAAAAATTCGCCCCCATCGCTGCCCGCGGCTCGGGCGCAGCGCAGCCCCGGCGCTGCCGGGCAGGAGCGGCCGGGGCCAGGCAGCGCTGGCCGCCCGCGTCGCTGCGGGCCAGCCGGCAGCCTCCGTCCCACCCTGCCTCGCCGCTCCCGGGCACAGCTCCAAGCCGCGGGGCCGAGGCCGGGACGGGGCGAGGGCGCCTCGCCCTCCGCCGCCGCACCGGGGACGCCCGGAGCGCCACATCCCGCGGAACGCCGCGGGGCTCCGCGCCCTCCGGCGCCGCGGCTCCCCGCGGGGCACGGCGGCACCGCGGAGCGGCGGCGCCCGGCGGTACCTGCGAGCCCCGCTGGCTCTTCCACTGCTTCAGCTGGTTGGCGGCGTCGTCCCGCCCGTCGGCCATTTTGCGGTCTCCGGCGACCCCCGAGGCAGGAAGGGCGGCGCGGAGGGGAGCGGCGGGGCTGTGTTCGCTCCCGGAGAGGAGGCAGCAGCGGCGGGGAGGTCGGGCCGCGGCCCGGTCGCGCTGTCACCCCGCGGGGACCCCGCGCCGCCGCCGCGTCCCGCCCGCAGCAGCCGCGGGTAGCGGGAGGCAGCGCCACTATAGCGCCGCTCCCGCCTGCGCCCGCCCCCCGCTACCTCCTCGGCCAATAGGACCGCGGCCAGCCGCCACCGCGAGGGCTGATTGGTCTAAAGGCACGTCAATCATAAGCGGGGGCCGCGCCCGCTCCTCACGCTGTAGGGCCGGGGCCGGCGGCGGTGTCGGGTTCCTTAGAAATTGGATGAAAATTCAGCAATGTGCGGCTGCCAAAGGCATTTTTCGGCTGTAATCCCGTTGTTAAAATGCCGGAGCTTTCTAAAACCGCTGTTGTTCAGTGACAGAGGAAGTTACAGGTTCGGCACTGTGAAAGCTGCACGTTCCTACGGAGTTTCTGAGGCAGGGTTTGTTTCAGCGGTGAAAAAAGTGTTTGTAAATTGCAAAGTCAAAGCGACCGGTATATAACTAAATAAATTATATAAATATATGAATTACATCAGTGTATAACTATATACGGGCTCATTGTTGTGTTGGTGCCTGAAATGGGGTACATTTGGTCATATGCACTCAATAGTAAAGAGCATTTCTTGGGTGACTGGAATTGAACCTTAAAAAAAACACCCACTTCTGAATTGTGTGGTTATACTTACAAACTAAAGTAAATATGACACAAGTAGCTTTGATAATACTGCAGAAGATCCCTGGCTTGGTGCATGTACCAAGGGTGATAAGAGTGGTAAAAAGCTGGTTATTTTTCCTGTTTCTGAGGTAAAACCTTTGAACAATGCAAATAATCCATTTTAAACTCCTTATCTGCAAGATTATATCTACATTTTTTCTCTTAATAGATACAAAGAATAGTCAAACTCTTTATTTCAAGTAGACAATTGCTTTATCTGGTACATGTTATTATGGATTAAAGGGTTAAAGCTCACAAATTTAAGTCTGTACTATATAGGGCATATGATTACTTCTATTCCTTTTCTTCAGAAGTAAGAACAGCAAACTCTTTTTTTCTGCTTCACCCTTTATTGGGACATTTTTTTCATGTCTTGAAGCCTCATAATCTTTTGTGCTTCAACATGATAACATCACAAAGAAGGGCAAGGAAGATTGCTTATGTTTCTCATATTTTTATATAAAATATCCATCAGCAGACTACACCTACCACACCTAGATTTAATAATAGGATTGCCCACGTGATATTTTATTTAAGTCAATAATTGCTATTTCAGTTTGCTTAACCAGCAAACTGGGGGCAATGTGAACATTTTCATGAACAGTCAATATTTGCTTTTCCTTTGCAATTTCACACTTTACATTTTAAGCAAGCCAACATGTTTAGGTAAACTTGCTGCTCACAAATCTGTTTCAAAGTAAGAGTAACTTACAAAAACTTCTTTCCTTTCCTTCTTATTATATGCTAGAGGAAAGGATATATGTACATATATTTATATATATATATATATATATGCACTCATGTATGCCTGCATAAAAAACAAACAAAAGATTAAATATTGGCTAAGGAAATATGCTAACCCCAAACCAAAAGCCAGGAGAGAGAGGGTGGCAACACCAGTGCCACCTATTGCAAATGGTGTTTGCACTTCAGCTTAACTAAAACCAAGTGACTGCATTTCATAAGAAAGGTCACAGGCAAAGCTCAGTGTGCCACAAATACTTTTGTCTCTCCTCGTGCTCTGATTTTATGTCTTTTCAGGAAAAAAAGCAGTGAATGCTGGTTTGAATACCACAGGTATCTGGCTGTGGGTGTCTTCGTTTTTTCCCTTTTCCCCCTTCTCCTATCCTGATATTTGTTTCCTGCAGCACCTTATTTGCCTCTAGTTATATATCTGCATGAAGTAAACAAACGTCAAACAATTCCAAATTAATCATCTTTATTTACCTGGGGAGACTGGTTCTCTGCTGCCACATGACTTTCTGAGGCATGATCCAAACCACCCTTTGTCCTTAATTAAGATTTGGGGAGACTAAAAGACAGAGTGCTTAGCATTTGTGTTTTGTGTTGTATTTAAAGTGAGTTTAAACACAAACTACAAGGTCAGTGTCACACACGATTGTGGTGTAAATAAAGTTTACATGTAGCTCATTGATTTACACCCAAGGGAAGAATCAAGAATTAGTTGAGTAGCAGGTCAGTAGTGCCTCTTGCTTTGCTAATTAAGTTCCACAGGCACCCCAAGCTTCCATCCTACATCTATCAGCCCTCTCTGGCTGCCTTAGGCCCGACTTGCTCTGTGATTAAATCAGTTGTAAATCTTCCCAAGCTCCCTACAACAACATCTGTACACTCTGAGTGCCTCTGCTGCAGAGCTAGAGCATTTAACTCCAGCACAGAGATGGGGGACAAGATGATTTTTAAAATAGGAGATCAGAAAAGAGAAGCGCAAGAGAGAGTGTGCTTACTTCTTAATTAAACTGATTATTGTTGAGAACACTTATCACAGGATTGGGAAGCTCATTGACCCTTCTGCTAAAGATGTTCAAACTTGTATCTTCCAGAGGATCCAAATTATGGACCTAGAGATGAGGCTTGGATATGTTTTCTACTCTGAGCCACAAGGAATAAGGTCAGAAAAACATAAAAGCTCTGGTTCAGGCTCACATAATAAAAGTATAATTGATGTGACTGAGTGTATTTTCAGTCACAAAACAAGCTACTGCATGTGGACTAGTTATGAAATAAGGTAATTAATCTATTCTCAAAACCTGAAATTTTAATTGTCTTTTATCAATAGCTAATATTTACATATTTGTACTACCTTGGGAACCTTTTCCACTCATCCTTCTGCTGTCATGCCTGGTGTAAACATCAGAGCACAGAAAAGGCATGGAAAGAGCAACAAATAATAATAACATGGCAGAGGATTGAGGGGTAGGTGTGGCAACCACAGACAGAAGTAGGTTACTATTCTATTTTAGAAAAAAGCAGAGATTTATGAATAGAAACAACAGATTAATGTTAGTTTTATTGTGATAAACAGAACACTCTGCCTGTGCTGATCCCCAACACACACCCAGGGCAATTTTGTATCTCCAGCTGGCAATTACACAGCCATGAAGCTCATGCTGTGAAAGGTAAGCCAACCTCTGGGTGACACGTGCTGAGGTGTTGGACATGGTCTGTGGTGAGCAGAAGAGATGGAATAAAGGATTGGTAATGATAAACTGGGGATCTCTGTATCTGTAAGATAGGTCTGAACACATTTTGCAGCTTTGATGGTAAGTTTGTCACTCAGGAACTTGCATTGTGCATAGCCTTTTTAATTCCGTGTTTTTCAGTCATCAGATCTAGTGGAAAACATGGAAAACACTGAAATACATCTTCAGAAGATGCAGGCTTTAAGGGATCATTGAGGGGGCAACAAGGTAAGCAGGCAGGAAGTCTGGCTTTTATGGAAATGGCACATTGGACAGAGTGAGATACTGAGGTGCACAGAAAATGTGAAAAAATCACCTAGAAGAAAATCAGGGAAAGGAAGATAGGAAACTTTGTTTTGTGTTTGTCATTTTTCACCCTCCTCTGCTGTAGTTATTAGGGCAAGGTCTTGATTTAAATAACTAGGAAAAAGATTAGTCTCTAATATTTTGTTAGAATATTAATAATTTATATGTTTCAAACAAGTTTTCTTTGTTTCTCTCATTCTCGTTGAAGAATGACTTCAGTGATTTTGGAGCAGTTGTCATCAGCCTTTGAGGTTTGAATGGGGTTAGTAAATGCCAGTGGTTCTAGGCCTAGTCCTTTTTTACCAAAAAATAGAATTTAATTAATCTATATTAATTGTTTCTAATAATGTATTGCTTTTCATAAACTCGTAATCATCATTATGAAGAATTTGTGTTTCATATTTAGTGCTGGAAAGACAGCTGCAATCTGCTTCTTGAGATCAGTGAAGAAACAAAAATAGAGTAAGAAATGGAGCACTTTTCAGGTTGTGAGGTTTTCAAACATCTTTAGCATCCTGGATACCACAATTCTGTGTTTTTACTCCTCAAAGCTGCATCATTAAAATGATTTCACCTCATAGACACACAGTTTTCTTTTTGGTAATGCAGATTTTATTTCCTTTCAAGTTAGAGTGCCCACATGAATGTTTTTCTCCATTTGTTCTCTGTGTTATTAGCAGCATTGTCTTAAGCATCTACCCAGGGGCAGTTCATAAAACCTCTATTTTGGAACCTGATTTTGCCCATTAAAGCTTCATTCTGCATAAGAAGAGATTTAAAGCTAAACACAGCCATATTTTGTTCTGTTGTTACAATCAGAAGCTCTTAAGCTTTTAAATGGGTCAACCCTCAGTATGACTAAGTCACATGTTCTTTAAATTAGTCAAGTGCTTAATTAGCATGCTGGATGTTTGCATGTATAAATATAGATGTTTGATCCAAGAGATACCTTGATACTATAGGTGTCATTTCATGTGTTCCAATTACACAGAAAGAAGGGAATCCTAAATGAACGGAGCTTGAAGCTGCAGAAAGTTAATGGCAATTAAAAACATTGTCTGCCTAGCAGGACTGGAAAATCAGGCTATTATTTAATTGACAGGAAAAATCAGAATTTGAAACTTTTGGAGATGTGTGTGTAGCTAAATGCCTCAGTAGGGCTCTAGGCTGATACATAGAGATTATTGATATAATTCATTATCACCGGTGATGATGGATTTCAGCACAGTTCATACCTCGAATTTCAGTTAGTTTGGTACTAAACAATGTTAAAATTAGTTCTTTACAGTGATGATTTCTGAATTTTCTTGGGAATATGGGATCACGGTGCTGACTGGAAAATAAAATGTAATCATTGGGAGCTTATGGGGAAAAACCAACAACAACAAACACAGCAGCCAGTGGAATGGCAACAAACCAGGTGAATTTGTGACAACCACAGCAAATATGGATGCTGGAAAACAAGGAAAGGCAAACAAGTGGATTTGTGAGGTACTGAGAAAAGAAATGTCACTGTCTTTGAAAGAAATAGGAGGTGCAAATTCTCTAGACTTGATGTACTCACCAGGGCAGAGCTGAGAGGTTGGAGTCAGGCAGCCAGTGGTGTTTAGGTGTCCTGAGG